GAGGAATGAAGGATTTGATTTTATCGAGTGGTGAATTTGTCTGGTAAATGAGGCGGGAGCCCAGTCATCGTCTGCCGCACCGCGCTTTATTCGCTGTGGCTTATCCGGGCTGGAGGAAACCACGTGGAGGTCAACAGATGACGTGGAGACGAGGCATGAAGAAATGCACAGAACCATTGGGTATAGTAGGTGTCACACGCCTTCCAGGTTGGGGTCCGAAAGACTCCACAACTGGTTGATTGGTGACATTGAAAGATATGACGGTGAACCGGCAGCAGTGGCGTTCTTGTGGTCATTTCATATTAGGTCAGAATGCTTGAAACGGTATGTATGCAGAGTTCGATTGTGCACTTTGCGTATTGACCATAGTGGTTCTCCTTCCCCCTCCCTCGCAGTAGATCCAATCCCTGTCCACCTTGAATTTTACCACTAACCTTGTATGCATTGGGTGTTCGGCAGCGATCAATTGAGTTCGATTGGCTGTATTTCGCTGTAAGGTGATGAGGACGACGAAGCCAAGCTAGGTGAATTTTCTTGAGGAATCCAAAACCGGAGCTTTCGGTTAGCCAAAGATGGGCGGTGATTGAAGTCCGCGATCCATTGGGGGCCGGTGTCCAGTTCATTGGATCATACGCCCATTGGACGGAGTCGAACGTCCAAGGTGCTCAGTACACCTCAATGCTCATTCGAGCCGACGACTACTGCCACAACTAGGTGTGGATGAGTGTGGTTCGTACGTCTCTTACTGGTTGGTTTGGAATCAGGGTTTTTAGCCAACTCTCCTAGGTGCACTGCCAGTGGTTCCCCGACCCGGATATTAACTTTTCGTTCCTTCACTTTTGTAGGAAAACATCACGAGAAGATAGTGAGTAGCACTTCCTCAGCAGAGACTGTTTGAGATGCTTGGTCGTACTGGACCAAGAGAAGTGTGACTAGGTACAACCAAAGAGACGCCAACCGTACTGAGTCGTTTGAGGCACACTGCGNCCACATACACAACAGCAACGGTAAACTGTGTTGCCTACCTTTTCAATCCAAAGCTCATGCAGTTTCGGGTATATCAGTCATCTAATTCTATCTTTGTATTTTTCCGCATCTCACTTAAATTTTCGCAGTTATATTTTCTGTCCCACTCAAGCAGAATTTTATAGTCTTACGCTGCGATCTAACTATTAGTAGCCGTATTTCTTCTATTCCTGTAAATGCGTTAACTCGGAAACTTTCAGAAGATCATACAAATTCCTGTGTGAAATTCGCGGACAGGATCCTCACAGATCCTGACCACCCATTGCCTACAGAACTGACACTGTCGTTCCAATCCGTCCACACGCTCTCAATTCGGCCAAATTTCATCTCATACACGCTTGCTGAAAATCGTCTACATTCTGCTTTGCACGTTTACTCACATACAAGGAGAGGGTAACAAGTAAAACTTTGTGCCTTGGAATATGAAATGTCCCTGTCTGTAAATATTTTTCTCTGTGATGGTTGACGTATATAGCTTGTTAACTGAACTGTAAGTTTCAGCGCTTGCAAAAGTTATATACAATAGAATAGTTTTGATCTTTTAAAGTTCTGAGGCATTTAACCTGCTGTCCTTCCACTGCAATTGAACTTGTTACCGTCGTTTAGAATTGTCATCATTTCCTCTTTACGATCCATGAGTACATCCCCCCACCTTTGTGAAGCTTCGAAATCGTTACTTCCCTGTTCATCTTGAGCTTGCTTAGGGCTTTGGACTGATCTTGACTGAGCATGCATCCCTGTGATACTTTCTTGCGGCGGTTTTGAAAGCGGACATCAACTAGAGTAGCTTTGTCAACTGCTTTCTGTGTTACTGCAGTTAAACCTTTTATCTGTTCTCGAATTCAACTTCTGTAGAAAGCTGATCGTTTCTGGATGTTACTTAGAGGAATTTTTGTACCGAGCGACATAACCTCGAGGTAGAGTAGGTAGAGTAGATAGAATGTCCAAGTACCGTTCTGGATTCTGGGGAAACTTTGCTCTCGGTTTCTGATCGTTTAGTCAATCAAATAGTTTGTCTCGTTTCTTTTCAACCCTTTTCTTGATGATATTCAGTGAAAACGTCTTCGAATCTTTCGCGTTCTTCGATATTTGGTACTGTATGTGACCTTGCATTGTTCAATCTTCTCCTTTATCAACCCTTCACATCTGATGGTAGCAATCTCGTCGCAGGCATGCCTCTTTAGCGAAACCACATCTGTTCTGACTCGAGCACTTTCCAGTAGTTTTTCGGACATTCGTCCTGTTCTACACATCGAAATACGCAGATCATGCGGCTGTTCGCATACATTTGCTTGGTGACACAGTCGAACATCACCTTCCCGTAACGGTCAGTCCTAAGCGCTGCTTCGAATATGAAAAAAAATCCCGGCCGATTATTGATTAGATGAACACAAGTTGGCAAACAAGCTTGTTTTTTTGCTTCTACCTAATAATAGCCCGCTTTTTGGGACAAACAAAAGGAAGCTTTCCGGTTCGACTGTTCTGCCCGTTTGTTGGGGTTTAATAACAACTGTTTATAGTCAGCCGTGGAAGCACCGATAACATGTTTATTTTCAGCGGATGTTCTCAATATATCGAATACTGAAGACCTATGCTCATAGATAGATGCAACATGCACCGAGACATCGGAGGCACGGATGCATCCGAATGAAGTGCGTGTATAGCTCAATTTTTTTTACACGAAATTTCGAAGACTAATAAAATCACTCAGTTAATGTTACGAAGTATCTCAACCACAGAATGCACTCAGTTAAGCCCCTCGGAAGTGCCTCCAGCAAAAGCTTTATATAACAATTCAGAGGTAGTTGGATAGGAAATCTAGGGTCATACATCAACATCTAAGTGTGGTATCAGGAATATACACGAATTATGGATCACTGATCACGGTCACAAATGAAGCACAGAATCGCACTAACAATCGTATTCTAGGATCTCCTGTCATCGAGACACAGGAAAAAGGCCGAAGGAGTAGCAGTTAGTTCATCAAGGAAAATCGATGAGATTAACTAAAATATATACGGGAATTTTATTGGTTATACAGGTCTCCACCAATGGCCGGCTTGTATTCTTGACGTCATACAGCTTCTGTTTGAACGGGTCGGTTTCCGATTGGTTGGTACTATTGGCCTGTGATTCGTTGACAAGAAACTGTGACGTATTGCCCCATGACTGGCGTTATCTCGTAAGCTAGGATCACCACATTTTTACCCGGTCACAAACATCGATCCATGTAGACGAGACGGAATATGGACTGCCGTCCATCTTGGTACTCAAAGCCCCCTGCAAATCATACCCGTCAACAGTGACGTCTCAACACAGCGGTGACATGATACAACTTAATTGGGGAGGGGGGAGGAATTCTATCTTCCAAGAATTTGCTGCTCTATGCTCAGCAGATCCTTCTTGACCCACAGATAGCATCAAAGCGCTGACCAGTCAAATCACTGATTGCGGAATTCCATTCACCGAATGCATTCGTAGTTAGAGGTAAACGGAATTTTATCTCGGGTCCGTTGAGTTTTAAATATGATCAAGATTGCGCCTTCGTAACATTTATTGATATTGGTTTATTGAGTCGATCGACTAATTCCGTTTTGCAGTATCGATCCATGCGTCATGGTTCAGCGATAACAGAAACAATATTACTGTCGCCACTGTTTACATTGCTGCTGCTTTTAATGAAATCAATACAATTTGTAGGACACAGTTGACATCGATGATCCTTTCCTTCTAATTATCATCGGGTAGCCTATTTCGATAAACAATTCATCTGAATTTAGGAATATGCATTAGACGCTGGTCTATCAACGGCCACAATCAGAGGGAAAGGGAAATGAACAAAGCAGGTGCAAAAACAGTATCAGACTTTCCGGTTACAATTAATTTCTCATAAAGCACAACTAAGTTGTGCGAAGATGGATACAATGAGCATAAACTGCAACAACAAACGCTATAAATGACAGCACCATCATTGGTCCACAGGACCCCCTGACAATGCCGGGAGGTAATTCTGTGGTGAGTCAGGGAAGATCTGAGTGCAAGAGAATTCTGTCGCGAAGAACATATTCGAGTGTGAAGAGTATTCTGAATGTGCTGTCCTTTTCCACACGGAGAGATGAGCTAACCTCAAAAATCGACAGAAAACATGAAGTTATCATTCAAATCTATATAGCAAGTGTAACATTTGAACCGAAATAGATGCAAACTCTCCAGGTAGTGCGTGTGCGACGGAGGAGAACGGGGTGGGGTGTCGGAGTTGAATGAAACAAAAATATCCGATTTCCAGTTATTCCGGTTTCCCTGCTTCACTGTTGTCTGCCAGTTCGACCGCGGTCGATTTTCGTGCTTGTATGGCTTGTGAACGCCTAATGCGTCGCTCGCGTCGGGCTCTCTGAGCCGCTCGTTTCTCACGTCTGCGTCGAATCTGGGGCCACAGCACTCCGGCCCAAAACCACTCGCTTGAAATCAAAATCACCCCGATCCCGACTAGCACAGCGACCAAGATGTACAATTCTTCCAGGGCTTCAATGTTCAGAGAACGATAGTTCAACTGGTTGACCGTACAGACGGTATTCAACTCCCACCAGCGCATAGTGAGTGCGTCCACGACTCCGCCTTCCTTCAATTGATCTAAACTGTTTAAACGAATAAATCAAAATATTAGAGGAATACAGAATTGGCGATTCCGGATTGTTTGTGTGTTAACATATGTAAACCGATGGGGATAATTGCCTCAGTGGAAGAAAATTCCCAAGTCAAGGTTTTCGAAAAGCAAAGGTATTGTTGAAATCCATATATACGTACCCAATACTATAAGGACATAGGGTTTGTTGATTTGAAAAACAAACAAAAGGAAATGAATGAATGCGTACTGCATAAGAAATGATTAATCTATGATCTGCTGTTGTTTTGCATCCTTCGGGGATTCTAAAGTGGGTAAATTCCATAAACTGCGATAGCACATGTTAGTCAGTGGTATACGTTTTTGAGTAGTATAAAAATCAATTGTTACATTTACGAGAAGATGAACAGGTTCGACGGAAATTACATTTCTTCCGTGACTTATTCCTATTATTTATTATCGCTTGCCATTTTTTTATAGTGCTATTCAAATGCACAGTATCCTGTCGTCTTTGTGTCTCGAAGACATTCAAATCTTTTATGATGCCCTCAGTTGATAGTGGACTAGTGCGCTCAGAAGGTAGCTCTTTTTCCGTTTCAAGTTGCAATCTATCCTGAAACTATTTACCTTTCCTTTGGACTGTTTTTCTAACCCAATTACCGAATTAAGATTCTAAAGATTGTCTCATTCAGTAGCAATGTAAGTGTGACCACCGATTGGAGTACATGGCGTTAACCGTAATTAACGACAGATTTGGCTACAATGACGTCTCAAAATTAGGGCACAGTTGACGATTCAGACTAGATCGTGCGTACGTGAATTAATGCTTTAATGCCATTTTCCAGAAAAACTGCATGATCGCAAACATAAGAAAATCTGTTACTGGGTAGTACATAGAATTCCTTTCAATATTCCAAGCTCCCATTGTTCTCTATGCAATCTTTCCATGCTTTTCTGGCGAAAAATGTGTACTGTAGAATCTGTAACCATCTACCTGTTCACCCTTTCTTCCGTTTTTGTTGTCCATACGTACTAAAACTGATCGATACATTTGTTATAGTTGGCATCAGTGCCCCCATTATTAATCATGGGATCAGCAAGTGATTGAGCCCAACACGTGGTTCACGCGGTAGGAGTGAATCGCGCAAACACAAGGGGAGCATTAGACCCAGGTTACGGTGACGTTCGAATGGTGGCTTGCTTCAGTAATTATCGTCCAACCATTCGCACAGACAGATCAGTGCGACGGCGGTTATCGGTTAACTTGAGACCTAACATTTTACTCAACGCCCAGCTTATCAGCTAGGTCAATCACGGTTATCGTTCATCTGTTTTCACAGTTACGACAGAGCCCATGGATCAACTAAATATAATTCTCATTAGAGAAACTAATCTTACGACAGTAAATATAGTCGGGGCTTTGGTGACCACTGTATAAAGGTGACCGCAATCCCAGATAAAATCATATACCCACAGTTTTGCTGAAGAAACCCGGTTTGCAAAGGTTTATTTTGGCAAAATCACGTATCGTAGGTTATTTTGGCTTAGCTCTCCGCTGGAAATCACCCCATGCGCTCTTTACATAAATTGTACGCTCCCCGGCATCTGCCCGAAATCTGAACCAAGGCAAACAACTTAAATTGACCCAGTAACTTTTGCGCCTATCTGATTGCGATAATTCTCGATGCGTTCGCTGACTCACATTTGTGCTCTATTTTGCGTTGTTTAGACTGGTTCGAGGAGATTTTACCTTAGGACTTAGATGTGATACAGCATTTTCAAATAACACACGGCACCATCAGATTCCAAATAGACAATTTTCTCTTAAAGAAGACGCTCATCATTAGATTTGAATCTAGCTTTCATGAAGGCGTTAATCAGTACACGCGGATGAACAACTATTCAAGCTTGTTTGACCAGATGCATGGCTATAAAAATGATGGATTGTCCAACTTCTAACTAAGACAAAACTTATTCCACTAAGTATTTCTTGAAAATTCAGAAAACAAAATCATACCCATGTTTGGTTTTGGTTCGCTGTAAAGTGGATAAGTCTAAGGAAAAGAGACTTCTCTTGGGTGCGACACTGCAACAGATTGACTGTACATGTTTCAAGTATTCGTATCGTGTTTGTGTTTGTGCGTTTCTATCAGGGTTTTTGGCTCGTATTAGTTACTACTAAGTTCGCGAAGGAGATAATCACGGACTGGCCTCAGCCTCCATCACGTATTCATATCCGGCTATCTTCTGCAGAACCAATCTCATCCTTGCGTATGAAGTTTACTCTTCCCGAAATCGCTTTTCGCAATTGTAGGGCACTGTTCTCCGATATTTTAGTTTTCAATACTCTCTCTCACGCGCGCAGAGGACTACAGACTGTGTTCTGCAGCAAGGTTATCTAAGATTGGCGACAACACAACGACTAGTGTAACATGACAGATACCTATGGCCTATCTGAGTGGATAGTTTTGCCCCGAGACAGTGCTGCGTTCCATTGGGAACGAAAAAAAGAAAACATGTCCTGTTCAGTTGTGTGATTCCTCACTCTATCGCTCGACGGTGACGGTAGCAAAAGCTAAACATTCCGGGCAATAAACAACTTTCACATGGATACTGAAAGTCTGGTTATTTGGTGGATATACTCCAACCAAAGCGGTAAACGATTGGAAACAATCAATACCGTTGTTTTCATTCGGATCAATAATTTTGATTGGCCAATGAAAGTAAACATGACAATTGGAAAGGTTACACCTACATCGACAGTAGTTTATGTATTGAGCATACAGATAAACACATTTTCTGTCACACATCAGTCAAATAAAATATCGATCCATCTTGCACAACTGAATCTATATATATAGAATAAGCCTGCTTGCAATCAGTAGAGTTTATTTCTCTTTTTTTTACACATTTCAGGGCGGTGATTCAGAGAAACGACGGACGCTAAAGTCGCTGAATAAATGCATGAATATTCGATTATGGGAACTGGTAACCAACAACTTTGGAGTTGATTTGACAAGATAACACCAGTCAGGGGGCTACGCGTAACGGTGTCTGGACAACAAACCACAGGCTCATGTAATCGATCAATCGGAGGCCATACGGTTCAAACAGAAGCTCTGATGATGAGAAAACAAGCAGGCGATTGGTTAGGATCGTTTTTTCTAACGAAATTCATTTCTACATGTTATTCTATTGCGTTGACTTCTAATAAATGAACCGCCGCTTCAGTGGCCTTTTTCCTGCGTTTCGTTGACAGTAATATTTCGGCGGACGAATAGCAGTGTGATTCAAGGCTGATTATTATTCCTATTACTACACTCGGATTACAGATATACTTATGGTCCCAATAGTATAATCCCCTTATTAAATCAAACGAGAGCGAATCTACCTATCATTCAAGTTGAATAGTGGTGGTAAGGTTCGAGCCTTGACCCTAAAGTTCCTGGGAAGTAGGTGCATACCTCTAACAGAGGCTCACCCTACTGCGTCATCGGCAACTGTTGTAAAAACTAACGTATAAATACATCAATATGTATACAATATTAATATAAAGTCCAATTTTTTCGTGATTAACTTTCTGAGTAGGTGAACTGCCTTCACGCCTTTTTAACCAGATTGATCCGAAGACGTTGGTTTTGCCGTATTTCATTTCATAAATTCAGCTTTTTCAGTGGAGAATGGAGCCTTTTCTTAAGATACAAGATTATGCAATGCAAACCTCCTTAGCAGTTCGGGGAGTGAATTTGAAACGAAGAAGTCTGGAAGAATCATTGCGGTGATTCTGTATCACGTGCTGTGGGTCAGATGTGTCTCACCTCAGTCAACTGGACGCTAGGGCGGATTTTCAATGTTTATTCAATCCGATTTGTTCGTCGCAAATCCACTCCTCGAGCTGCTAATGAGGTTTACATTGCATACTTTATTTCGCGAGTTCAAGTATAACAATGACCGGAGAGAAGATTACCGGAATTGCATACCTGACGAGAAGCAAGGACCGCGAAACCGGTCGTGTGCTTTTGGGAATTGTTGTTCAGTTATTCATATACTACTCATTACATATAAGATTGTTCAAATCATTTTGTATAACTTCAGCCGTCAGACATCATCTCATGTTCCTCCGCAATTTTTAATTCATCGGGAATCACACCTTAGCCATACACCCCGAAATGTCGCACTCGACCAATGGGCTTGCACCTAGTGTGACACGTTCCTGGCACTGTTCATTGATTAGA